TATGACTACTACTGTATTACATGTACTGTAAAGCAATTTCATTGAATTAAGTCTTAATTATTAAGACGTCAAACTATAAATTTGTGTTTTATATTATTTGACCCCTCTCCAATAATACATATAATATAATATGAATTATAGTGAATATAAATTATACATAATTTTGTGTTTTTATTATAAAGGGAAACTTTTTATCATTTAAACAATTAAATCATTATTTTAATAGTTAGATTCAAGTTTTTATTGTTATATTCACTTCAATTGTTTATTGTATTATTTAGTGGCCAACAAAATACCAAATGTTAACTTCTTATACACAATATTAAGGAACTCTTAATTGTTTTTTCCTTGACTTTCAATTAATTTCTTATCTCTAATGTTATGAATCAAACAAATAATTATTGACTAATTTGTTGCAATATCAATGACTGAAAATTGATTTCAACATGAATTCCCTGTTAGAAATTTTTTATTTGTTTATCCAAATATTCATAACTTTTTTCATTTTTTGAAAATTTAAACAATTATTTATTTAATTATGTATTTAAGATATTGCTTTTTATACTTATAATGAATTATAAAAGAATTCAATAATACAAGTGTTTAGTCGCTAACCATTCATATCTAATCAATTGAAGGCTAAACTGAAAAAATGATTGATTATATCGACAAAAATGACACCTGTTTTCTACAAATCATATCTTAATTTCAAGTATTTTATTACATTAATTACAGACTTATTATAATTTTCATGTCTTAAAGATTTTAAGTAATCTATAACATGAAAAATGAGTGTTCTTGCTTAATATTTGTATATAAATACATTTGATTGTTACTTCTCAAGTCATTGAATGACAAAATCAATCACACATTTTATATATCAAAATAAGCAACTCATGATTTAGTTTTAAGTTTTTTATATGTTATGAAATTATTAAAAATATTTTAGTTTGATAAGAAATCATATTATATTTTTATATAATAATAAATGTTTTTAATAAAATGAATAGAAATTATAAAATTATTTATTACTATAAATTACCTTTAGTTATAAATTCATAAAATGTAAAACTACTAAAATTTATGTTATTTTATCAATTGATACTAAAACCTCAATCTATTTGAATTTCAAACTCTTAAAATATTATGCTATTATTATAAAATGATATTATCAATAATATATACAATTAAACCTTTGGTTAAGTTATTAACTTATTTGATCAAGTTCTTACACAATACAGTAGTAGATTTGTATAAAATAATATATACTGAATGTAGTTCCAGTTTCTTTCTGTATATTTTAGAGTTTCCACTCATTATAGCAGTTAAATCTTATTTGTTTGTGAAAACATTTTTTACAAACATATTTAGACTAGAAATTCAATTGTTTTTAGCAATTGAGCAAAATTTATGTTAATTCACCATATATTAAGTATTCAGTTAAATAAATAAATTCTATTAAAGTGCACAACTTTAATTCAAATATTCAAATACTTTTATATTATTATCACTTAACTTTTTGAAAGTTGGTTAGAAGTACCGGGTTTAATATAATTTGTGACAATTTTCAAATAATTAGTAAAAAATCAATAAATACAAAAAAAACTAAACAAATACAACATTAAGTTTTAATTAGCTTTCTTAACACTATTGCAAAATAAATGTACATTAGTACTATAAAATTTTAATTATTAAACATTCAGTAATTTGCCTTGATTAGAAATTAGCTGCTATTTCTAAACTTCTAATCGCAGTCAATTCCAGACGCTTACAAGTCTAATTTTTGCATGTATCTAATTTTGATACTTATAATTTGATAATAGATAATTCAATAATTTATATGCAAACCTTTAAGTAACAGCCAGAAACATGTCAGCCATACAACTAATGTCCATTTAATCTTTATAATAATATCAAGCTCCAACAAATTAGTGGTCAGAAATATGGCTGACCAACAATAATATAATTAATTGCAAATATAATTTAATAAGTTTATGTTCACAATTGAAAATTCTGTGTATTTAAAATTTAAAGAGTTAAATAAATTTTTTAGATTATTATTAGATTTGAAATAAAATTAAATGTATTTATGACAAAATCATTGTACGGCAAATGAAATCTTTGTTAAAATCCGTAAAATAAAATGTTTTTGCAAAAAATGATTTAAATATAAAGTACTATTGAAATCTCATTATTAAGGGATTAATTTATTAATATATTTCTTTGAATTACTTGCAGTAAAAGATTACGATTTTATTGAAGCAAATAATGTGCTGAGTGGTAGAAAAGGTATTAGGAATTCATTCAAGAATTTACTGTTAATACAAATATAAAACTATTAAAAGAAACTGTTGAACAAAATGTGTTCAAATATATACAGGACAACATAAATGCTTGATAATTGAAATACTTTTCCTATTGATTAGTTCAAAGTGTGAAGTTCATATACTCTGTACATTTCGACTTATATTTATCGAGTAGATTTTAAAGTAGTTTACTGTAATATTATTTTTTTAAATATTTTATTTATCAAAGTAATCTCATTTTATTCGTGTGAATATAGTAAATATATAGAAATAAAAGTTTTCAATTTTATTATTTATACATTTATTTATTTTTCAGTTTTGTTTTAAGTAAATACAAGATTTAAAATCACAATTTTATTTGTATTTTATGTTAAACAATCTGAAAATATTTGCCATTTTATATAAATCATAATCAATTATTAACAAACAAATTACATATTTATTTAATATATTTATAACTATAAATACCTGAATAAAGAAAAGATGTTTTTTCACATATAATAATAGACTACAAGATATAACAATAATTTTTGTTTAATATAATGAGTGAAATACAAAGAATATATCGATAAATGATTTGATTATTAAAGATTTTGTCGAGTTTTCATAAAACTGAATACTAATGTAATTGTAATTTAATGCATGAATTAAACGGATTTTAAAATTTTTTCAAAGATATTAATCAATGATTTTGAATTATGAACATTTTCAATTAATGATAGCATAACAAATAGTTTTTATGATCCTTTATTTAATTTCTAACTTTTATTTTATAAGCCATTGAATCGAAACAATACATGTACTGTCGGTTACTATTAGTAAAACATAAACATAAAAGTGAACACAAATTTTCATCTAATAATGCGATTTACAACTTATAAAATAAGAGATTGTATTTTCAGCCATAGGTTCACAAACTCATGGATTTGTGCGGGAATGGTGTCTAGAATCTGATGCCCTCCTCATTAAACGGAGACTTTTTGCTCAAAGAGTTTTTGATTGAAGTTAGGCCTGAAATACTGGGTTTTGCTGCTTTCGGTGACAAGTCGTCGCTATTGGTGTCATAGGAATCAGACTTTTTAAACCTAATGCCCTCTTCAGTGAACGGACTCTTTTTATAGCGAATGCCTTCGTTGTCAAAGGCCTTCTTGAATCGGATCCCTTCCTCAGTGAACGGAGATTTCTTGTAACGAATGCCTTCCTCTTCAAAGGGAGACTTCTTGTATCGGATTCCTGTTTAAGGTTTAAATCAATTCATTTACATTGCAAACCCTTTCAATATTTGTAAATATATACCAATTTATATAATTCTATTGTCTGTTATTATTGAGTGAACTTTTTATACTTGATAATTCACAAAAAAATTAATTATTTTAAAATCTTAAAAGTTTAAATATAAGTTCATGCGTATAATTAATTAGATAAAATCATTTTAAATTTCTCGTGTTATCAGCAAAGATATTTTATGAACAAGAACAGTACACTTTTATAGTTAACACATTAACACTGACTTAGCATGTGGTATTTATAAAATAACTTTATTTTAAAAATTTCCAAAACTTTTTAATTAAAAAATATTTAAAATTAATCAAAAATTGCATTTAAGAGGAAACTTATGTTTCATTTAAACTTAAGCTCTATATCTAAGTAAACAAAAATATTATACATTAAATAAATCAATAAAAGTGCTTGATAAAAGTATGAAACGAGATATTATATGTAAATGTTTGTAGGCATACCCTCGTTATCAAACGCGTACTTCTTATATCTGATGCCCTCGTCATTGAAGACGGACTTCTTGAATCTGATGCCTTCCTTCTCGAATGGATTCTTCTTAAACCGAATGCCTTCAGCGCTGAACGGATTCCGTTTGAACCAACTCTTGGAGAAAGGGTTCCAATTAAACCAGCCCTCAGTATCCCAACCGCCGTTCCGCAAGAAACGGATGTTTTCGCTGTTCAGCGAAGACTTCTTGAATCGGACGCCTTCTTCTTTAGGACTAAACGACTTCTTGAATCGTATGCCCTCTTCACTGAACGGCGATCTCTTCACCTCTTCTAACGACTCACTCCTTCTCTCGTTTAACGATTGCTCGCATTTATCATACAATTTGATTAATTCATTTAAAGTCAACCCTAAATGACTTTCTGTAATGAAAATAAATTTGTTTTCTTAGCAATTGTTACGTGTTTTTTAACTTTCAGTTTTCTCTATAAATATAGTGTTTATAAATATATTCAATTCAGTATTTCAAATATAACTTTATTAGAAAATATTAGACATTATAATACCTTAAAATATAAGATATTTATATTATTTTTTCGATGATTTATGAGTATATAGAATATTCTATATAAAAATAGATATTCAAAGAAATATTTTTTTTATTTAAATATTTTTATATTTGTAAATACAATATATTATAAGAACATTAAGCCCTAAAATGGCTAAATGTTGTTTATTAGTCTTGAAAGTTTGTGGGGGTGAATATATTAGGATAAAATATATAAATATTTCAGAAATTTTTAAATAACTAAATATTTTTAATTTAACCCAATATATTTTGGGGTATTGATTTTTATAATATTATTATATTTCATGGATTTAAAAGCATACATTGTGTTTGTCTTGTTTGTTAACAATGATTAATTTTTATAATATTATTATATTTCATGGATTTAAAAGCATACATTGTGTTTGTCTTGTTTGTTAACAATGACTAGATATGAAAGATTTCATAAAACAATATTTGAATATTACCAATTAATTCTCAATTGTTTAATATTTTGGTTAAGTTGTTATGAAAAGAATTGAATTATTACCATTAAGTCATGAATTTTGAAAATATTGTTTGAGTATTTTAGATATTTATCTACATGCAACCATATCATACTAAAAACACATTGAAAGGAATTTTTGTTACAATGTATTTGGTTTGACTCGTTTTATTATGAATTTTTCCAATCTCTGTAGAATATCCCATAAAAATATATAAAAATAAATATCGAAGAATTTGGCAGAATATTCTTAGCTCTATATATTAGTCTAATATCATTGCCATACATTATGTCAGCACTCTATTGATATGATTGTGACAAAAGAAACCGTATATTTATTGTATTCACACTTCTTTAATACGTTTCTTTAATTTAATAATAAGCTCTAAAAATATATGAAATAATTTATTTTATTTTATTTTATTTCTAAATACTCTGAAAGAATTTACTTTTTTATCTATTTTTATTTGGCTTTTATTAAAACTTTTAGTTAAACAATATTGACAAAATATTAATACCGTACTATAATACTCTTATAGTTTTTTAAATTGAAAATAGACTTATATTTTTTATTCATTGACAACCAATACTTTGCTATTATTAAACTTTTTAAAGCTTAAGTTTCTACAACAGTAATTAATTCTTACCATAAAATAAGTCTCAAAATTAGGTCTAAAATATAATGTATATAAAAAGCACAAGAAATCCGATATTTTATGAATACATCTAACCATTACGATCAAAATAATTACGATATTTCAAGTATAGCTCAACCAGTGAAATAATATCTCCCAAAAAGGTCTCAATTTATGAATAAAAGTATTTTTTGTATAAAAATAAAAACCACGAATCAAAACATGTTTTCAAAGAAATGTGTTTGACTAGTAATGCAAAAATGATGTTATCATTTCTAATTGACAGGATATGTTATGTGTTACATACCTGTCCATCATCTCATAATAACATCAATAAACAAAAAAAATTAATTATAATTGTTTGCTGATATAATTATAGATTATATAAATGAAAGCAAATAATAGTTTGAAAAAAGCATAAAATTGCACAAATTAATTGAATATTTAAAACAAGTCTTATGATGCTGAATAAATAGCTTTTATCACTAATAAGTAATCTAATAAAAAATTCTATAGTTAATATGTAATATTTATACTGTTATTTTTTGTAACATAATTTTTAGATAATACATTAATGGTCTGTGAGTTAGCATATAATTGTGTTGAGGTTTTGATGGCTACCGGCAGAGACAACCTCCCACTCGATCTTTGTGTTTGCAGAGACTGTCACGTTGTGTGTATGTGTGTCAGCCCACGTATGAATGTATATTTACGCCTATCAAGCACTTTATTAAACACCAACTTTATTTCGGATAAAACTCTTATTTATGTTTTTTCATGGGAATTTTCATTTTTACATTATTATTCTTTAGTGCTAATATTATGTATTACACATGCACATTCCTGTTAGGGTATTATATTCATAAAATAATCAATTTGCACTAATGTATGAATATGATTTCTATTACTTATTATTCTTTAAATTGATTTTTAGAATGAATAATATTATTATAAATTGATTCCTCTATATTATGTCAAATATAGATTTGCAATTTTACTTATTTAATAGTTATAAGATAATTAACGAATCTCGTATTTTGATAATTATTTTACAAAATTCATTATTATAATTTTATTGCTATATAATTAATATGTTCATTTTTTGGTGCTAATTTAATATACGTTTATTAATCATTAAGTGAAAATTCATGTAAATTCAAGTAATCATAAACACTAAAAAAAATATGGTATTTATTTTATTTTTTAAAAACTATATAACTTACAGAATATTCATATTAATTTTCATTTGAAAAATGGTGTCGTAAATGTCTGACTTTTTGATTTTTAACAATATATTAATATTATAATAAATATAATTGTTTGAATCAATGAAAGAGGTCATGTGTAAAATCACAATTAAATAAATCAAATTTAAGCAATATACTGGATATACGGTATACTATAATATAGTACCTATATTAATATTAAAGAAGTTTAACCTGTTGTTATTTATAACTTTTTAAATAAAAATCTAGGATATATAAAAAAATTGTCAAAATATTTAAAGTTCAAAAAGATTATATAAAACATTAATAATTTAATAATTAAAATATAAAAGTATATTATTTATACTTATAAATCCACGTTTTAATATTTTAATATGGATTTATAAGTATTAATATAAATGAAATATTAGAGTTTGTAAAAGATTTTTATAAATAACTTTTATATATAAAGTCTATATCCATTTCCTACTGATTATGACTATAATATGGATCCATTTATTTAATCTATAGGTGAAATAAAAAGCATTTTTATTATTTTTGAAACGAATTATAGACAGTCTTTAAGTCCGGAAATTTGTATTTTATATTTAATTCCATGGGGATACTGATTTTTATTATCAATAAAATTATTTAGTTTGAATTATTATTATGACAAAAATCATGTGTCGAAAGTAAATCTAATCAAAAAGTCATTGTATATAACAAGAGAACATAAAAGAAATTTCATTAAATGGTAGCTTGTATTCAAAGAATTTATATTAACTGGAGTTATGTAATAAACGTTAAATCGGATTATAAATCAAGAGATTGTAATATTAGAGTCAAAAACATGTTTTAATACATATATGTATTAAATACATATACATATATATGTATGTATATACGTAATACATATATACAAATATGTAAAATATATGATTCTTTAATAACTTCTATAGAATATTCTAGTTTTATTGCCATCTGTATGTTAAGCCTCAATAATAGCGAATCGTTTATTATTTATTAATTAACATATTTATGTTTGTAAATAATTTTTTAAACAGATAGTAGCATCAATCTTGATATTATAGATACAGAATAAGACATACGTTTTCATTAAAACCTATTTTACAATAAAAACTGGTAATAAGAAAAGGTATAAATAATTGTAATTTCTTTTTATACTTATCAACCATTAATCGAGTTCTTCATTGGACTCGACTAATGGATTCCAAAGTAAGAATTCATTGGTTATTTCGTTGATGTCTTTCCACTCAACTGATTATACCAAGTATTTCAATATATTTTGGGTTAAGTCGTGGATTTCAAAAACACATAGCATTGATGTAATGAATGAATTTGAACAGAAATAGCTAACTAACACTATGTATTATACTTGGTTAATTTATTATACCAGTTCAAATCATTATCTAAGTGACACATGCATTGAATAATTCTGGCAAAATCTCAGAATTTAATAATATAAAGCAAATATTAGTAATGAACTGTTCATTTGAATATTATATTATTCTTAAAATAATTTATAATTTCAAAATTTATTCAGTCAATATTTAAAATAAAAATTTACTACTTTCATATTTCCTTTGAGAGCCTACGATATGTTTGTATAGAAGTTATAGTAAATAAATAGTTATCTGAAACTATAATAACTTTAAATTTAAATTCAATCTAAATTTCTACTCAAAACAGTTTGATTGTAAAATAAATATTTGATAGTAAATAACAAATGATATCCGTTAGAAAATAATATACAAATGTGCATCAAATAATATACTCATATGACATTTGCCGTATAAACCAATGGTTGTCTTTATTATATTCTATTCAATTTGTTTAATGTATATATTATGGCATCAATATTCAAAGTATCTCCGAGTTTTCCGAGCTTGAATGACTTTTATCTTTTTTTACTAAACAATTTGTTCAATCATTCAATAAAAATTGAATTAGAGTAGTAAAATATAACTATAAGAAGTATTTGAATTAATATTCATATATTTTAAAAGTATTTATAGTAAGGTATTTGTATTTGTTAAATATATTAATAGAGATGAATTAGATTGCATAATAACTAGACATATAACTGCATAATAAATATATACTTTTATAAAATAAAATTTTCAATCAAAAGACGATTTAAACTTAGAATTTAACTTAAATTGAGTTTTATGAAAACTACAAAATTATCACGGATAAAGATATAAAAGCTAATTTACGTGGTTTAAATTAATGATCATAATTATTAATAATTAACTTTAGCTACATTTATATAATTTATTTAACTTAAGATTGACAAAACATAGTTTAATTTTTATTGTCGTATTTTTCTTAATTTTATTACAATTACAGAAAATTAGATTTCAACAAATTGATGTCTATATTATAAAGTTATTTACGACAAGTTATTTGTATTCTGAGAGTAAATAATTTGATTGTATTTACTGTACTGTCAAAGAATACAAGAATTGAGTTGTTGTTAGCCTTTGGATAATGTTTTGATTTATATGAATGACTCGGAAAATGCAATACTTTTTCTAATACAATGTACAACTCATTGTTTAATATTTCATATAAATAATCTTAAATAACTCATTAGAATAACTCAAAGATTTATTACTTTTCCCAATCCATAACATAA